TTTATAATGGCAATAAAATTTCGATACATCAGGAGAATGCGCGTGTGCATGCGTGTGTGTGTGTGTGTGTTCAGGTGTGTAAGAAAACTTTATTCCAGTGCAAATAACTCAAGTAACGAGAATCAAAATAAAACTGAACAGATTTTGATCCTCATGGTTTTTTCTTTACTAGTAGTGTTTTTTTTATTTTGTCAAATCAAAAATATTGTGACATTCCTGAAACTCTGTCTTAGAAACAAAACCAAGGCACCAGCGGTGACTGATGAGTGAGCTATGCCGCCGTTAGCTCCACCTGCTGTAGGCACATTTTAATTATAGGTCGTCCCGGGAATCTCATCTTAGATTGTGCATATCTACAATTCGGTGCCTGGTGGATAAAATTCACGTTCATAAATCATACATACCCTTGATGACAGATAGAAAATTAAACATATTGATGCAACTCTAATCTAGCATAGATCGTGAACTTCTTTCATAATTTCATTATGACATTGACTTTCAAAGATCGATTTTTTATCTCCTATTTGTCATTCAAATCATATATTATAGTTACAGTGAATGATGTCTAGACGTATGCTTATCTTCTTTTGTATTGTTGAATCAGTCAGACTGCTTGAGGCTCTTAATAATATATAGACCGCCACAGAAAATTCAGTCTGCTAACTCTCCTGGTTTCAAATCCCCCTGGCGTAGATGTCTGAAATTTGTCATCCAGCTAAATCATGTTGTTTTCGTGTACATATATCAATGGCTGTTACGACAACATGACTCATGACCCAGCTCACATACGCTATGTACATTTCTGACATGATAGACCTCTAGCATCATCTACGTTGAGGTTAAAACAATCTGTGGCATATAGAACAATGACCTTTTCCACTTAACATTGCACGCTTTGCATAAAGTATCCGAAGAGAGCTCCCTTTTGCCCCCAGAAGCTTTCTATTCTCCCCCTACTTGTGAAGCAGTAACACCCTCTTCACACGTGCACTGTCCCTGGAAGAGTGAAGAAATCACTCATTCCCTAATGGTTATTGCTGGCCATAAGGCAGTAAGTGCTTACGGTCTCAGCAAATTGTGGTATGTCAGTGGCAAAAGCTAAGATCACAAAGGTGTCCTAGGTAAGAGTTACGCTGGCAGGAGGGATGTTAGATCCCCAAGATGCCGGCTGTCCAAGGTCTTCTGAACCAGATTCCACCGTAACAAATAGACTACACACGCGCCGTTTTCCCCGGTGGCGTATAAAGTTGATAAGCGCAGGATGTTGGGGCCATCTTCTACCTTCATTAGACAGAAACTGTAGGAGATCTTACAATTCTTAGAATATCTGCAGATACAATTTTCAAAGCAGGGCGTAAAATTTTGCTTGATGTGCAACCATCCAGAGTGAACTTTTGACCTTATAGGACTAGAAATAGAAGGAACAGTGTTTCTAAAAGGTCGATTTTTTTTTCAAACCCGTAGGAACAGACGATGTACACACGTCACAGGCGTCTGGTTGCCTGAGCCGAAAGAAGTGCTGGATTTTGTAGCACGTCTGCGTCTACGAGTGGCCATTATTTTTATCAATCATTGCTGCATGCACTTTAGCCATTACGGAGAGACTACAAACCCAGAGTTTGCACAATAAGTTCTAGCATATAATTTAAAATACTAGAATTACACATATCCTGCAGTTGAGATTGTTCAGAGAATGCATATCTGATGAACAAAAATATGTTTTTGCACTAGGATGACTTTCCTGATAACAGAGAGTAATTCCATTAGTTAAACTTGACGGACGGTTGCTTTCACTATATGTAGAATCACCGAATGAGTCGTATATTTTTAAGATATGTATAATATGCCACCATCCTTATATTCCAGATCATATCCTTACACGTATTTTTTTCGTTCTTGACATTTAACCTCAAATGTATTACGGGACAAAATGAGGTATGGGCCAGACGCTACCAAAATCGATAAAGTATTGCAACACGTTTTTGATTGAGAATATAATGGAAGTTCGTAATCCCTCAAGTCGATGGTTTTTGATCCAATAGAGCCCAAAACGTCGAATCTTTGGCTGAGATGTAATCCACTGAGGCTCATCTAGAAAATGGAAAACTCAGACATCGCAAGAGACATGTTTGATATCTTGTTCTCCGATACATGGTGTATAGATTGTGTTCGAATTCTTTGACTGAAAGACAACGTCATACTTCTCCGGAGAGATGTTGCATTTGACCACACTGCATATACTGCAATGCCTTACGGATGAAAAATATTGTAGTGTAAGGTAATATCAATGACTAATTGAGACAAATCCTCTTTTCTCTTTTTGAATCCTAACCTGTATCTGTTACAATTGCTAGAGGTATCGAGGCTTAAAAAGAACATTGTTAGATTTTTTCTTATTGCTTATAAACATACTTATTATATTATGATCAAGAAGTCTGAGATTTCATACCTAGGTTAGATTTTTAATTTTTTTGGTTTAAATCATTGGGCATATATCTATTACGTCTATGTATTTTGGCCTCGGGCTAACAGAATCGAGGCCAACTAACGGCTGGCTTCCGACGACAAGCTACTGGGACCTACTCCTCTGTGTCTGACCTTTTGTTGTTTGTGGTTAAGAAATTCCTTTATTCTCACGTTGTCCCTCAACTCTAAGAACACACAATCAAGCACGCATAGACACATATACAGAAAACATTACCTCCGTGAAGGTGGTAATAAAATAGTCTTTGACTTTTTTGTTTTAACATTTACCGACTTCGACATGTAATCTACCGAAACGAATATGTTGTCATGCTTGCTATTCATGTTGATAAAAACAAACCTGAACGCATCAAAAGGACGGTTTCGCAGTTTGATAGATCAATTATGCAATTATTAACATTATCTTAACCACCACTAAGTCATCATTGTGCCTGTAACCACTATGATTACGTTCGGTTTATGTAATTTTGACGCCGACAGAAATTGGGGGCAACGTAATTACATAATTATATTTCAAAATTACAGTTACATCTTATCTTCATGGATTGATGTATTGTCTGAATAATTAATGAGTCATTGAAAAATTGAACCAAGTCTCTCAAACGTTATCATTATAACTTGAAGTGTATAATTTTTCAATGTCATCCATTATCAGAAGGTGCAAAATGTAAGATGTTAACCTTTCGTTATTGCATTTTTTGTGGTACTACCGGCACGGGTTATACTTTTATGGGGAAGTACTTTATTTATTGCAAAGCATCGGTACAGCGGTATTAGATTCTAATTGTTACTCAATTACAGCATCTGCTTGTACTCTTGCAGCGGCAGGCCGACTGTCAATCAATGCGAATGTATTTAGCTGATAACTCCCCCCTCCCCAACCGTAGGAAGACGGTTACTAGTAATATTTCTCAAAGAAAAATACCAGTAATGTCTCGAAGGAAGATTTCCTACCAATGCAAATAGCTGTCATAAATCGTTTAATTGTTACACAAAAGGACATCTTTGTACTACAGTTCAGCAGGTAAATGATCTAGAGACTGCCCATGGCACAGGGCATGGCCCCCGGCTGTGGTGTTGGTGATTTGAACTGAATTCTATTCAGCCATACATTGATGTACAGGTAACATCTGAATCTGCGTCATCACTTCCTGCCCCCAGGTCGATTCCATCTTTGTTGATGACATTCTTAATGTGCTAATGCATTAGAGATGAAGAAGTCTGAGCTTGGCATCACGACGTTACAAAAAAAGACAGGAAACTGCAACCCATGGGATTGGTTTAGACAGGATAATACAAACTATGACGGCATGATATCTATAATAGCTCTACAGTGACCGTCTTATCGTCTTAAAGAAATAGTTCTTCAATAAGTGCTGTGAATGATGGGCTAAGAAAAGTTGTCATGGTTCATCTGGTTTGGTTTTTGGAAGTTGTTAATGCATTCCCTATGGAACATTCAATCATCCACGTCATATGAGATTGCCACGAGGAGCACACGCCGCAGGAGTATTGAGTGCGGTGACCCATCCGTTCTGCCTCGGTACCTGGCGGACAAATGTCTTCATTTACTTCAGCTAACATGCTGCATTCGTCTTTCCCAGTCCCCAAACCGCACAAGACGAATGCTAACCCTCCAAGGCGCGGAGATCCTCGGGGGTGATACGCCTAATCGCCCGCCAGCACACGGCGTCTCATCGTCACCAGGGTGGCACTGACGTATCGCTCTGCCCATTAAACTGGTCGCGGTCTTTTCGCCGTATTTCCACAGCAGCTTCTCCTCACGCGACCTTCACTATACGTCTTCTGCTCTTCTGAAGCTAGAGAAGAAGTTAACAATGCACTTGAGAGCGCCCCTCAGTTTATAAAAGTATAACTTCACAACATTTTAGCAATGCTGCACGTGAACTACATTATGCCAATTATCATAATGAAATACATTGCAGTATAAAAATGTATATGTATGATTTATTTTATTACTGTTTAATCCACGTTCTAGTGAATCTACGTCTAGAACAATGATCATGCGACAGATGAGAATTATTATCAGACGTTAAATGTCATTGAATACGATGTACAAACCATAACGATTTGAATGAAACGAAACTAATGAAACTAATTTGAATTGATAAACATGGCTCATATAAATTTTTCATCAAACTGTATCTCGACAGAGTTGTACTAATCTTCAATTCTCTTGATATTAATCAATCAATATCAGGCCCATTTTGACTTCATACCAGATATTTTATGTGCATTAATTTTTCTGTCGACAACACATGGTGATGGCACAATCAAGTTTTCTCAACTTTTTCTCCACCAACACAGAGGACAAAACAATACTCATTTTCACCTGAGTTAATTGAGGAAAGTCGTGTAAAGTGCCTTTTCTAATGGCAACAGATCAGTGGCATGGCAGGGTTCGAACCCATGGACCTACTGGTTCACGATCACTCTACCATTACGCCACACGACCCCACTTTGTGCATTAACAATTCCTGTTCTTTCTTCTGCAGCCGAAAATTGCACCCTGATACTGGCGATGATCCCAGACGGAGAGAGAAGTAAGTACACGATCAGTCCAGCGTGCTGGCAGCCAATATATCTACTGGCAATCACAATTTATGTGTATTAGTTGGTGTTACGCAGGTATTGATTCGAGTTCTCTTCGTGATTACATGTCCGTGTAAATTCCGTTATCTCCGTCAGTTCAAACGTACGCTTCGGTAGCATGGACATAGTTGTCGTGACCGTTAGGTCAATGTTCGATCTTCTGAGGGTCCTCTCGCAATTTAATTACAAGATATCGACGCCCTACCCAAGGTCAAGGAATAAAGATGTACATTTAGATAAACTTGACAAACTTTTTGACCAAACGACTTCCCAGATATAAGGAGCCGCAGTGGCGAAATGAGGTCTAAAAATAAATACAACTGATGCTTGAACGTAAAAAAGAGAGTTGAACCTGTTGGATTGACCACAAAAGTATCAAATTTAGCTCAATAGCGCTTATCCAGTAATGATTGCGTGGAAACCAATGTTTTATGATGTAATCTTGTTAAAGGAAAAGCACGGAGACGAAAATTAAAAAAAAGTAACATGACAATTTAGTAGCTAGACAAAGTGCTGTCCATTTAGTGGATCGACTGTTCTCCATACCAAGTTTTTGGATTTTAAAACCACGTATTGTGATCGACTTTATTTACTCAAAGTTTCATTCGAACTTCAGTATCGTCATAATTATGAGTTGAAATGTGCAAAACATCCTTTACATTATCAAAAATCTGTTTCAGGAACAATCACTCATAACGAGTAATGACATGGTACAATTATTGAAAGGTGCTACCGAACGATTTGGAAATTACCAAGTTGGTCCCGTTAATTAGAATTACAGACCATTAGTCAAACGTGTTGCTACAATGATGAAGAATTCCCTTGATGTTTAGTTTGACTCAAATAAAAGCCTACCATGCAACACAAAGAACACGGAGCCGAGCACATATACAATACACCCAGACAACACCGCTAGATGCATGCTGAGCGTCTATTGCAGCAATTTGGACCTGTGCCTACATGTTTCTCAGATATATTCTCTCCGGAAATACCAAAGTTCGGTTAAGTGTGGCTCCGGGGGTGCTTTTAGTCACACTGGCAGGAAGAGGCAAAATTTTGCAGGGTAATTTTGTTTGGTTTGTTCGCAATTTAAAAGACAGAAATTACTGAGGCATCAAGAAGTCTTCCGGTGTGATTATACTCTTTTAAGGTGCGAGCTGATAGTCACGTCACAGCAGTCAATATAGCGACTTGAGAAGGTAATGAGTGACTCGCTGTCCCTCGAGGGATTGCAAAACTTGCCGCGGAGGAAGATTTTCTGTTGAGATATCCTTACCAAGGACACCGAGGCGCTAAAGGCAACAAAGAAAACTTGAGCTTTGCACTTAAATGAAATAGCTTGGGTCTTTTAATATCCCTCAAGCAACCTTCTCCTGAATTGGAAACTAAAGAAAGAAATATGGGTTTATCATTGACAAAACCAGGCAATGATTGTAGGCGCTGGTATAAAGAACAAACAAAAGCAACTAAAAGCTCTCAAGTGTTGAAGAATCAGGGCAAAGTGCTATCCTATAAAAGTGCAATGTTAATTGGCTCTTGGCTATTTTTGTGATTGGCTATTAGTCACTACCAGACTAACTACGCTGGGTATGCATAGGAGAATATTTGCTAGGGGAGTTTGGCAGCCTTGGCGTTTGATTGGAGGTGAAGAAAGAACCTTCTGCGGTCTGACTCTGGCCAATTGTACCCGAATGCTACGATCCATATTCCCGTAGAAAGGCCTGGTGGAGGCTAACTAGCTATGAGCAGACTACTAAGGATTATGCAAGAAGAAATGTCACAGATATTTTTTATGGTATGCAGACGAAATGTACATGTCTATTGGCCTGGAACTGCTGTCCATCTTGTTACTGATGCTCGGAACCGTATTCAACATGGCGGCCTGCTGTCGACCGGGGACGTCTCCCAAGGTTACAGCCATTACAGCCGTGCTGGCTGTCCTTGCTGGTAAGTGCTAGTTAATCCCGTAAGTACGATAGGTGGAATGGCATTGTTTATCAAAACTTCTTATTCAATTTCCAACGACCTTGCTCAGAAGCACCCTTTATTGATACCCACTATCTCACGAATATACATTCCCACGATGCCCTATTCAGTACCCATAAGGCCTTAGTCACTATCTCTTCATATTTTCTTGTTTGTAGGTGCCATATTTTGTCATTTTGTGGAGAAAAAAATCTTTATTTTCAAAAACCACATGGGGTAACCGTCCCAGGTGTTTATTTTCCCTGATACCGTAGTCATCATCAGTTTCCCGTCATGCCTTAGGCAATCTCCGCCATCTTGTATTAATGCAGGTCTCATACTATGCTATATGCTGCCTTGATTCGCATAGTACAAAATTCTGGTGCTTTAATTTGTATGTAACACCTTTTAAAAAAATGCTGTATCTATTTGTTTCTACGTGTAGGTTTGACTGGAATGTTGAGCCGCATGATGTTCATCACAATATTCCGGTTCTCGATTGAGATTGGCCCGGAAGATCAGAAGCCCTACAGCTGGACCTACGGCTGGTCGTTCATGGTGGCGTGGGGAGGGTTTCTGTGCTGCATGGTGACAGCCATCTCCGTGCTACACGCTTACACTATTGCGGTGCTGGTAAGTCATCAGATTTGTTTTCAACCTGGATCTTAAATATCTTAATAGTGACGAGTCCAAGTCTGTTAGCAATTACTTAGACATAATTCTATTTTTATTTTGAACTTGCCTAATTATAAAGCCTTCTCCGGCGTATTAGAAAAACAACCAGCTTCCTTATTTTAGCATAATAGTCCGTACTAAAATCTGCAAATATATTAAAGGTATTCCAACGTACAAGCAGTAGTCTTGTTAATGTTTATATAATATTCATATTGTTGAAATAACTCAATATTAAAGTGCGTTCAGATCAAGTCTGTTTATACAGTCAAACTACTTGATTTTACCGAAGCCCTTGTATAGCGTATACCTATAGAATCCTTAACCTAAAATATACTTTTAGACGTCGGAACATCTCGGTAACAATAAGCAGAGAAGATAAACTGTATATTAAAAAACATGATTAGTCTGTTGCCTTGACACTTATTCATTCCTATGTAGGAAAAGCAGGAGCGGTGGGCTATTGAGCAATGGTTGCAGCAGTCAGCCCCCCTGGTGCGACCGGAGCCCCCTCCACCAGTCAGCATCCCCCACACCCCCGCGCGTACCCCCGCCACAAGGACTCCCGTCAAGAGGCTAGACTGGAACAGGGTTCCCGAGAACATGATCATGGGCTACCCCTACTGTCAACAGACGGCCATATAATGGAAACATTTTGGAGAAAAGTGCACTCACATGGGACCAAACTACATGTATATCTATCTGTTGTTAACATTAGCTACAAAACTGAAGTATTCGTGCGAGATACCTTAGACATTTTACATGACTTATACTACAAGAAACAATTTGTAACTTCGACGGTCATGACTTGTTGTTATATGTAGAATACACAGTCATGCACCTGCATTACAAGAAAAAAATCTTAAGCTTGTCTTCATGTCTAAACTCTCGATTCTTGTAAAATGTACATGTTGATTAGTACAGTCTGAACAAGGTAGAAAAAAAAAACAAGACGTTTAGAAAACCTACAAAAAGCTACGATTTCTGGGGCAAAATTTTATAGGTACGATCCTTTACATCACTGTCTATAAAAGTCAACAGTTTCCTTTCGTAGTAAATGGACGTTCACCCATGGTAGTATACACGGCAACATATAGGGAGTACAACGAAAGCAATGTATGAACACAAGACGAGAGAGACACACGTATAAAAGAACACGCCTTAAATATACCTTAGCAAAGTAGAAAAATTAACTTAAGCTTTGGAGACAAAGGAAGAGGTTGTAAGGAAATAACGCTTTGTATATATTCACTTAGGATTTACATGCATATTTGGATATCAAGGTGCCTAGTCTTCTATCGTAAGCAGCATTTAGTTATTATCACATTTGTACATCTAGAAAGATTGATAAATTACATCTACTCACGCCAGGGCGAACGCATATTCATTTAATAGGCGTACTGGGCTCTTTAACGTACTCAAGGTGAATGTGTATCCTCAAACACGACTTCTCTGGTTTTATACTCGTTTCGAGAAGACGTCTGTAACAAAGCTAGGTACTTTTTTTACATAAGCCGACTAAGGAATTAGGTGTAAGCATCAGTAGCCGTCTTAGATATTCTAAAGAATCTAACATAACAAGCTCGCAAACGTACATCCTTGCTTCCTTTGCTTTATTGATCGTGTGACCTTTGTGAGATAATGTCTAGATTACTGCCGACAAGTTAAGGAATTACTGCATGAGAACAGACGAAAAAGACAGAAGATGTAAGGATAATAAGGTACTCTCAAATCGATAGTCAGTTTGCTTTGAATCATGTTCGTGGCATTTATGGTTTACACCAGAGCTTATGAAGGCAAAATCACGAGGAGAACACATTAATAAGTCAGCTTGCTGTGTCAGTTCTTTTTGTTAGCTTTAAGCATATTGTTTTTTTTTATTTAGAGCCTAAAACGTGTCAATAGTATCGTAAAGCTATCAGACATTTGGTAACAACTGAAATTTGCACGTTTTGCAACAAGGTAGTTGTGCAACCTAGCAATTAGGCATCTGACGAAATATTTTTGGAAAGTCTTTTTGGAATTAAGGGCATTTCTCAGCTTTTATGACTATTACTGCTTTGTCCTTTAGCGCGACACTAGATACATGTATAAGCAAAAGTGCTGTTCCCAACTTTGGAGACAGAGGGCAAGAAAGGGTTATGACAATACAAAACACCAGTTCGTCAAAACTGTCTTCATTTACTTGACATATTACCCTAAAAAGCTTTTCCAATCAATTCAAACCAATTATTTTCTGCTCGTCTATCTTTACCCCTCCACACCTTGTTGTACTGCAAAGTGCTCACTCTACAAGCCTATCAACCAGGGCTAACTGTTTTACTCACGAATAGGCATAGCTAGCAAATAGTGTTCTACCTGAGTGGATATACCTATTAAAGGATTAAGAGGATTACAGGTAGAGGACACGACGTTTCGTTTAAGTGATGATGTTGTCATCCTGTCCCTAAGAGATGGTTAGTAAGATATACGAGCGTGCGGATAAGGTGAATGACGATTGTGTGAATGAAGTTGATCCAATGTTGAAGCCAACGGAATCCATATGCGAACTTCTGCTAGAATACCACAATGCAGGTATATAGTACTTGCTGCCTCTTTATGATAACACTTTATAGATAAAGAAAGAAAGACCAACAATTATACACAATACCACGTGTGAAACTAGAAAGAATTCATTTAGAATAATGCAAAACAGAGTTTACATAGAATCATTAAAAACATATTTTTTGTTACAACGCAATCAAGCAGCTCAATGAAGAGTTAATATCACCGGAAGTCCACTCAGCAATTAATCCGTGTTTGAAATGTAATCAATCACATATACCTTATCAGTTAACAAGCGAAACAAGATTATTAAAATTGCATTAATAATTGCATGTAGACATTTAATATCGATTTTCCCTAATAAATCATGGACACAACAAGGTATGCAAGCTTGAAATCGAGTGATTAAGGCCTTTTTAGTCTCTGCTGTAGAAATTTGTGAGCGGGTTTGTCAGGACGATGTGCTGCTTTAGTCTAAGTATTAGTTTGCTCCACTGTCGTCGGAAGTCAATCCGCTTAAGTGTAGTAAATTATAAACCTTTGTTGTTTATGATCATACGACGTACATGAATGAAGCTATGGTAAACCGTACAGACTAAAGCAAGACAGAAGCAGCCTCAGAGAATCAGTTTTCCTTTCTCCAAAACTTTACGGTCATCTTTAAGGGCGCTCCCTGCAAGCGTGATGCATTAGAATCAGATTCTGGGTTGGCACTACGAAGTGAGGCTGAAAGTTGGTGATCTTAAGTGTGGGCTAGGAGTGCCATCCTATCTCTGAAATCTGACAGGGCGTTGAACAATAGTTTAGCTGGAAGTTACTTTTGTTGCAAAATGTCAAAAGTTTTTTTTCCACTTAAAAGCCTTGTCACATTTCTATAGACCATAGCCATTTCTTGTTATATGAGATGCAAACATAGTTGAAGGAAGCGCTCGAAACTAGAGATTAGATAGAAATTCACTCAAAATTAGATAGAAATTCTGCTAGTATTCAACACTGTTACCTGCCAAGGATAAATCTACATCGCTGTTAGTTTTTTGAAATAAAAAGTAAACCAACATTAAAACAATACTTAGAGACGTTTCATTGAGGCAGACGCTGTAAAAGATTATATGGAATGCTTAATTTGTAAGGTGTGCAAATATTTTATTCGATTTTCCTTGACTATGGTCAATACATTGGTGATACAGCAGCTTCGGCAAGGTTTAAACTACACAATCTTCGGTACTCACCATTCCACATATTGCACTTTGTGGACAATATACACTATCGTTACACAAGTGTTTTTGTTTTCTTTAGAGATGTCTATTAAAACTACAAAGGGGACAATGTCGTGTCGATGCATTAAATGTTCATTTTAATATGAATTGCACATGTAAACCAGTTCTTTGTAATGATTTTACGTCACTTAGGCATTTGTGACAAAGACAATGAGTTTGGTATATAGACAGTTTTAGCTAAAACGTTTCACAGCATAATTCAATTGAATTAGATCAATTATTTTTTTGGGGGGAGGGGCCTTTATATAATGACATTATCAGAAATGTATGTACAGCTTGTTTCAACAATGGCTGCCAAATTGCCTCTTGCTATGATGTATATAGTAGAGCTTTGTACAAAAATAACAGAACATCTATAGGATATATATACTATGTATCATACACTTATATCTGTGAAGTTGTGCCATATACAATTTTGTCACTGCTATATTTAGATATCACTGTGGCGTTATTATTATCAACTATATATTGTGTAATGAAACAATTACGTACATGCGTCAGACCATATGATACGATCCTGCCTTTCTACAAATATAGAACTTTTTTGTTGATGCATTACATTGTGGCATAATACAATACACGATAATTTGAAGTAGACTTGGGTTATACATGACGTGCTGTATGTTGTACTTATGTACTATATGTACTATATATATATATATATGCTTTAGCATTGCCATGTGATTAAGTTTTACTAATAGTACTTGGAAAACAGGCTGACTTCCTCATCCTCGTCCATGTCCTCTTCTTCTATTTCGACTTCTTCAGGCGCTGCCGGAGGCTGAAAAAAGCAGACGTGAGTGACATGTAAAGAAAACATCGTACAGTATAGTATCATGTGTCCTTCGTTTTAGTCATGTTAAAAATTAACTTCATTATGCGTACTGAATTCCTATTGGTTGTGCATAATCTATGATGAATGGGCAAGGTAAACTTGGTATAATTATAAAACAGTGATCTATTTGTCATGAAAATCAACTACATTATGTGTACATATTTCCCATTGGTTTTGCACAATCAATATGAACATGACCCGGCATGATACTCGGCATGATACGTTGATCTATTTGTCTTGCTTCCGATAGACATAATTAATGTATGGTGCCTAGCTTAGCCTAGCACTAGCATTTTCGTCAGCAGTTTCGTCATTAAAATATTGCGGGTTTTCTTACTGGTTCTTCTTCTTTCGGTTTCTTGTCCTTCTTGTCTTTCACCTCATCCGAAGCTCCCTCATCCTCACCGTCCTTGTCATCAGCCTCAGGCAGCTTCCAGTCGTATGTTCTCGTGGTGTTCTTGACCGGAGCGCCTGGAATAACCTTCGGGCCCGGTGCAGACTTGGACGGGCTGGCCTCTACAGTTGATTCCTTGTTTGGCTTCGAGAGAATGAAATCATCGTCGAGGTTCTTCTTCTTCTTCTATTCCAGGAAGAAGAAACATGATTTAATAATTCATGAAGACATGTAAAAAGAAGATTTTGACAGGTGTATGATTGTCAAGTCATAATCATGTCCATCACCATTTGAGAAGAGTTGCCTGGGGTAAATATAAATGTGCGTATTTTATGAATGTGCCATTGCTGAGACATTTACAGCCCTCTACAGATAACCTTGAAAGATAAGGTGTATTATCAACTATTTATTGCTTTATGACGTTTACACGTACTTCACGGAAGTTCTCATTCTCCCATTTGGCGATGATGTCATCGACGTCGTCGTCTTCGTAGATGCCTTCGTCCTGTTCGTCGTAGTAGTTGTCCACCATGCCTCGGTACACGAACTTGTCAGAGGCGTTCGTCACACGGAGCCCGTTAAACGGAACTGGGAAAACGGCATCATTTAACACAACATCATGAAAATCCATCTCAATCTGGTTATCCTATTCCAAAAATATCCATGCAGTTATTGTGGTACATCACTAGGTGAACCAAATACACCACTCGCTCTTGAAGTCATCATCTGTTACCTAGTCACTATCAACAAAGCATATAAAAAAACGTAACATGCTGCAGTACCATATAAAGCTGTTAGGAGGTTCAAAATCACATCATTTTTGATTAGTCAAAAGCTAGCCATATTCCTAATATCATATCATCACTAAATTTCCATGAAAGCTTTTTCAGGTATACTATTAACATGAAAAGATATAAAAGAACACAAATATACAGCACCTAAAGCATTCTTGGCAAAGGTAGTGACTGTAACTAATTAACATAGCTTCGACACAGCAAGCTGCACTTTTTCGGCCCAGAGGTGACCTGCATGACAGCAAGCCAATCGTTCTCTCCGGCTGTATCAAGTTTGCTGTTGTAAAGTCAACAATCAACCGAGTATGAACGACGTAATCTGCCCCGCTACTAGCAATACCTTATCACCCTGACGCCCACCTCTAATTACACAGACCATAAACATGATGAAGATCATTTTATTGTAGACTGTTACTCGTACGTGTAGGCTGTAAAGACGGAAGTTCTGAGGCAGATTCTTAGCTTGACAACGCCGGTTAAAACTTACTTCCGTCTTCGAAGTTTGGTTCGGGTGGCTTGGGTCTTCCTCCTAACCCAGTGAACCTCTTAAACCTCATCCACATAAACTCCACCATCTCTTCGTCTTCCTTCGAGCCGTGCTGGCTCTCGTCCTCCATCACTGCACCGTAGGTCTCGTCTAGAATACTGGGGGGAAAGAAATCCAGCAGTGTTTGATTGCTTTGTTCAACTAGGATCCCCATCAGTGTGCAAATTCACACTATTCTTTCGGGAGTCTTGGTGATGATGTTGAACGCATGTTTCTAATGCGAGAGGGGGTTCGCCAGGCCTCCATCCGTATGATATGAGGTGAATCACCAACTTCCAGCTTTAAGTATTTGGACCATCGAAAGATGTGGTGGGTTCTTTTGCATGCTTGGAGCTCCCCCCCCCAAACAAGGGACCTCCATTTAACGCCCTATGTGAGGGACGTACCTTAAAGCTAGGTACTCATTTACACCTGAATGAAGTGCGTAAAGTGTATTTCCCTAAGTTCACAAGATCGATGGCATGGCAGGATTCGAACCCGGGCGAAAACGACTCAAGACTCCACCCACAAATAGACAAAAAGATTTGCCCTATGGTTGACATATGTTGGTCGCGTTTTTTTCCATGTGATCGCCCAGTTCTCTCCGTAAGAATTACAGCTTAAATCTCACAAGAATTGGAAAACAAATCTGTTTGAGAACGCGATGTCCAAAGGCTAATCCTAATCTTCAATCATTTCCTTCCCGATGGTACGCTACTGCAACGTTACCCGGTGTTTATGTCCTGGTGGACAGCTTCTTTGTTCTTCTGGGGTATTTAATCACTATGCAACTCAATTATCTGTGGAAACGGTACAAGCTGTTTAATGGTGACATTTCCACTCTGAGACATTTAATGAGCAGTAGATCTTGTCTTCCGTGTGCTTATGTATAGAATTTGGAAACCCCCATTCATTAGAGGTACACACCGGAGACCGCAGTCAACTGAAGAGTAATTACAGGACTAAAGGGTAATCACACAGAATACCTTGTGCGATTTATCTGGCAGCCGACCTCCTTTTGCAGGCTCTATCATTCATAAATTAAAGTGGCCGGTAGAGACGTCTCTTTGTGTTCTTGTAACTCCCGTGATTTAAAATGTTGTACTTTTTGTGCATTTGTCTCACTAAGAAAAATTACGACTGCCAACCGCCATTGACATTGGTGATCATATACTACGTACAAAAACGTATATTGGGTAGAAAGGCATGGTGCATCAGTTTTCGTTTGATAAATCCTATGTTGAGATAGACAATAAATTATGGGAAAACCTTAAAACCGCCGGTGTGCAATGATCGAAATACTACTTGGATTTGGTGATTCACAAAATCACCCAAAAAGGTCTCGTATTAGCCACATAATCGCCAAGAATAGAAGAATAGTGTGAAATAGCACAATGGAGATCATAGACGAGAAAGCAATACACATTAAAACAATTGTTAACGCAAAAAGAATACGAGATACGCCGTCAGATCAAAGCTGATCACATCAGAACAAATCTGATTACGTACCTGACAAACATGTTCATGACCAACATGATCATGAGGTTGACGAACACGCAGAAGTACACAGGGCCCAGAATGGTGTGTGTGTTGCGCATGTCCTCAAAGTTCAGGTCACCCAGCACCATGGCGAGAAGACCTTCATATGTGCTGAGGAGATTCTAGTTGGACGAAGAGAAAGACCCAAGTAAATATAAGGTAGGTAAGCTTTAATATTGGCAACTTGCAACCCAATAGAAAAGTACATCACAAACCACTTAGGACCTAGTTAAGACAACAAAAGTCGTTTCTTAATGATTTAAAATCTTACCTTCCTGGGTACATATATCATAATTTCCCAGGCTCTAAGAAATGTTAGCGATTGCATGATTAAATGTCACTAATTGATTTTAATCAATTTTTTAATCTTTTCACTTAAATATTTTCTCTCTATAATGCATATGAATTTCTTTTCAATTTATAAACATGCATTACAGTTGTGAAGTATTCTTTTAAATATGGAATTTACTTAGATGAGGTGTACATTGACAACTGTTATTTTATCTATTAAGTATGTATTATATGTGTCTTCTTGAAACACCCCACTGAGGACGACCACAGTCATGAATTTCATATTAGTGCGAGTCAAACAGTCACGTTACCTTAAAGCCCGGCATGTTTTGTCCAAAGATGACGAGACCGGACAGGGCGAACGCCGTCATGCAGATGGTAAACATGATGGTGAAGAGGCCGAGGGCGGGGATGGAGTTCTTGATGATGGCCAACAGGATGCACACTCGCTTGTTGAACCTTTGGCAAACAATAAGGTCCATACATCATGTAGATTTAGTTATTTTATACTCTGTTTTAATGTTCTTTTATGTTTTGTAATTAGCCTCCGGGCACTAATTTGCAATAAAGTTTTCATTGATGCCTACTGTATAGATTGACTGCATTAGATACATGAACCTTGCTGTAATGACGTTGAATGAAACCAGTTGATACAGTTGTTTCAACTTGTTTGGATGACTGTTGATTCAACTGGAAATTATCATACAGTAACTGTACATTCACATTCGTTGTCATAATTATGATCGACAGTTTACCTCATCAGTCGCATGAACTTGAAGACTCCCACATACGTCAGGGTGGACATGACGTACACGTACATCTCGTCCATCGTGGCCAGGCGCTGAAAACTCACAAATTTTCCTGAAAGAGAAATCCACAGAAATACATATAATACAAGACTGATTATGAGACTATGAGATGCAATAAAAGACAGTGGATTGAGATTGACATTTTTAAAGACTTGACACGATTTGGTTTTCCGCTTTGCTCAAGTGACTAGCAAATAAATTTTATTCCATTTTACATACAACTTTGGTTAGCTTTGCTTCATTTCTCATCATTAGAAAGAAATATCGTTCCAAAATCAAATATACTTAAATTAGTGGACCAGGAAACTTAAAAAGACATTGTGATTACATATTATAAGCATCGAAAACCTTTACTTTCATATAAACGCTCCCAGCAAACATGGTTAAAGCCAGTGTGCAATGGTGCCGAAAGGTATCTGTGGCAATCCGGGTTAACCTGAGTGATCACACAGGAGTGCTTTGAAACATTCACGTTAGCATGAGCCATGAAATCCACCCTATTCTCTACCTTCCATCACAGGTAATCATCTTAATTTGATTGATTGAGGATTTGAAAATTCCTTGGAGCTAAAGATTAGGTACACGGCTGCCGAGTTCTTGGATGGGGTCTATCTTTACTTTGCAGCTGGAGAAGCTCCATGTATCGGACTCACGTGGGTTTTGTTGGAAAGCTTCCATGGCGGCCCCGGCTCCCATGACCCTATAGCCGTACATGGCCAGGGAGAGGAAAGACATTAGGATGATGACGATCTCCACCCAGTTCCAGAAACTCTTGAAGTATTCCTTCCTCTGTTTTCGTATGTTGCCGATCTCTCTTATGGTGAAGTAGACAATAAATATCACCCACAGGACCTGAAAAAGAGCACGATACCACATTTTGTCATTTCGGTTGTGAAAACGAGATTTCTTTAACCAAATATATTTTGTGTGTATACATACAAGACTTTCTTTGCTTTTGGTAAGATATTTTGTCTCGCAGCCATGAATGCGAGGACGAATTATGTCTTGTTTCAAGATTAATTCCAAAGAGCCCCAGGAAACTCTCCCGAACTGCTGATACAAGGCAAAGTAAAGTCGTGCTGACAAGCAGTCTCGCTCATAAAAGCTCAGTCATTTGTTACCAGCTGTAACCCAAGGGCCAATGTCGTTATCCGAGTTTACAGTTATTCTTCACATATAGATAGGGGTCTTTTTCTGCTTTTAGCTCTAGAGCAAAAGGGATGAAAATCTCAGCTTGAATCTCAGAGAGATAAGCATTTTAAAACTAATGGGATTATCTAGGATCTAGGCAGTCGTAAATCCCTCAAAAGCCTCGCTACTTCGTAATACGTTGGAATACGTACTCAGCGAGAGGGGCTTCTGTATTTTGAACAATTGCCAGTGTACCTCTTTAGATGAGAATCTTCATATCTTCAAATAGCAAAACAAAAAATGTTTGATACCTGCGCAGCGATGATGATAATCGCTAGAGAGCCCACGTAGCTATAAAGTCGGAATATCTTGACTTGAGCGTAGGTACTGGCTGCTCCGGTTGGTGGAAACTCTGCTGTAAGGATGACGCAGCCGAACAAGTTGATGTTGGCGTTATAGACGCTGAACTCCGTCACCACCGCCCTGGTGTTGTGATCGATCCAGGTTTCCTTAAATAACTGGTCCAGCACCTGCGTGGGAATGAAAGAATTCCCATGTCAGCAATTAACGAAAATCAATGAGATTTACTAGAGGTTTAACTTAATCATCATGTTTTGCTTTTATTCAAAAGTAAAATGTTATGCTTTAACATTTTAATTCTAAAAGTACAACCATTTGCTTTAATTTCTATTTTAAAAGGAACATGGTTTGCTTTCTTCAGTTGTTTATTAGAAAATTTGCTTTCTGTAATTTTTACTGTAAAAATATTTGATTGTTTGTTTCGTGTCTACTGTAGCTTGATCAATTTTATGTCTTTGGCTTACGTAATCACGAAGCCTAAACGTCAGAATATAACCCTTTATAGAGACATAATCATTAGTAATCAAAGTGATTGATTTAAAACATGCTGCGGTGCCAGGTGGTCTCATCCAAAAATGTCCTCCCTCCGCAGATTTGGACGTGTAATAATTGATGTGCGTGACATGTTTTATGATATGATGATTACTGCATGATTTCAACCTTGAACAAGAAATGAATCATTCATGAAGTATGCCATAGGCATGCTGAAATCAGCGTGGTGTCGGATGATAGATGCATGGTTATAATTTAACCTTTATTTAAAGTAACGTTACGTATGTCTTCATGTTTAATACAGCAAGATAGAACTACGATATGTTATATTTAGTACACATATATAACCACTTGCTAGTTTTATAGTTTTAGGGACCAAAAATATGAAAATCTTGTCATTGATATATCACTATACTGATGGTGTTATCATATCGAATATTTTCGTCATGAAAATAGGGACATACATACCCTGTGTTTGCTGTTAGACCACACTGAAAACGTTATCGTTGCAGTGATGTATTTTTCTTAGATTACTGTTAAGATGTTTGTGAAAAATGCTTGTAATATTTTTGCACCGAAAACTGAACCATGGCTACACTGAATACTAGAACATCGATGATGAATGTTGAATTAATACATTTTTTTGTATCAAGCCTATTTTGCATTCAACTCTATCCTTGTTCAGAGCACAGTGGGGAATAAAACATTTTGGGATATGAGGAATTTTTCTACATAACGTCTTTTCCCGAAGCTATTAACAAGAAAGGTAATATTTGCATAATGTTTATCTCCACATGGTCTAGCCCAACAAACTACTTCTCTGGTTCTTCTTACAAAAACATATCCAAATTCTAGTATATGGTGACCAGCCCCAGTCCTCTGTCCTGCTACATAATGTAACCTAACACGCGTGTAGAGCTACATTATTACTAAAGCATCGTTACCATAATGATGTGGATAATGGCCTGGTCCTGATCATTGGCCTTATATTTTTGGCAAAGAAGGAAATGAAGAGCACAAGAGGAAATAAAAGATAGATTCACCATTAATCCTGTGGGGTTGTTGACGCCCAGCTCCACCACGTACCCCCCTGCTCCATACACGGACTTCTCCGCGATGATGGGGACCCCCTTGGTCTCCCCTGACGTCTGGTACACGAACCACAGGTCCCACGGCACGTAGTCTTCACTCTCGTTCACGGCCACCCAGTTGGGCTTGAACACGCCCTTCTGGGCATCGCCGAAGGAGTACTCGTCGTAACACTCTTCTATGCCGATCCTGGTCGTTTGACACTTTTCTATAGATAGATACATACCATGCAAGAGGATATATTTCAGGTCAAACTTTAAAAAGTTCTCGCTAATCAAAGAAAAGCCGTTAATCAATGTGTAGTAATAGAAATGCAAGTATGCAAGCCCCTTTTTGCATATCAAACCATCACAAAATCGATAGCATTGAGCACTATGTGTGCACTAGGACATTATTTTGTTGGATGGTGTAGGACAAATAGGTCATGATCAATATATAATTCTTTGAATTTTAGGAAATTCACGCCATAGACACAGTTTAATAATCTCTTGTAAGTTCATATGTGTTGGTAGAAGTCGTAATGAAGTTAACCTGTTTTTACTCTCAGTTGTCTGAAGCGAGCCGGGCCGATTCGGTACGAGTTGAGGTCGGAAACAAACTTCCGGTTGTGGAATGGGATTTTGTCGCCGTTGTACTCGCCGGTTTGGTAGAGAGCAGGGATGAGGCTTCCCTGGGCCCACTTCCAGAAGTTGGCCACACTGCTGACCTAAGTGTAAAAAAATCTATTTTAGCTCACAACAGACATGTGACAACGTCGAGATCTCAAACGTTTTTGCGCTTGTTAACAACTACATGTAATTTACGAACCATGCGTTTTTACAGCTACATGTATATTTACTGACATAAAGGACAAAACAAACTAAAAGAGTTGGATTCCAAATATTTGCAGCATGTTATAATGGAGTCTAATATTCCTAAAATATGACGATAACTTGAAGTCTCGTACGGTTCTTCTTTTTTCAGGGTGATCCAGAACAACCCGTTATAGATGTATGTACCAACAACATGTTATCTGAATCTAAATTGAATTCTGAACTGATGGCGATAACATTGACCAAGTTTCCTTATCAAATAATAGAATCCTTTTCACTAACCTTGTCAGTAAAGCTACCAACAAACTCATTTTGCAGAGACGTGTGCATCCCGAAAGCTTGTTTGTCTCTGTGTTCATTGGCCAGCAGTAGTAAAACGCATAGGAAGAACGTGTAGGCCAGGAACTCTTTGATGATGGCCCACATCATGATTTCCTTCCGCCGGGTCTCCTTGATCTCTCTCAGCTGCTCTTCTGTGATCATCGGTGGGGGCGCTTTTGCACGGTGCTCCGCTAGTCCCTCTGAAAGGAAAACAGAATACAACATGTTCGTTTATTCATTGTCGTTTCCACAAGAAGTCAGAGACTTTATATTTCCAGTAACCTTTGTCCTGCTGGCTATTCTGTGCATTCCATGTTCCCTGTGCTGGTCTGGGGATTTCAGACCTTTTTAGAATATATGGTAGTCTTGAAAACACCAGCATTATATTCATGAGAAAAACGTCGATCTTTCCTAACATATGTTGAGCATAACGTTGGGGATATGAACATGCTTCCCAACAATTGTTAGAATCAGCGTTTTAGTGACAAAGGTCTAAGAAATGTTTTGGATTTTATGTATTGAAACAGTGGAGGGTACCCTATGGTGCCCCTCTTCGTAGTCCTTCGTAGTCAATAACGTCAGAGCATTATATCACGCCCTGAATTCCCCAGTATACTGTCAAAATCACCTCCATCCACTTTACAAAGAACATTGGACAGAAAACCACACCCAGGACTCAGCCACCCAAAACAGTACCTCCATTCGCGAAAGTAATTGAAGAGTTGAACATCAAGACTCCCATTCCAGGAATTGCTGCCATGTAAATGATTATTATTTTGGAAGGCATTTAAAATGCCCTCTAACAAACCGAAGATGGGGTTAAGTAAAATTTTACGTCTGCAATGTTGGACCAAAAGTACTTAACGGTTGAGATATGAAACTTCAGTGTCTGGTAAGGTCTGATAACGTATATGGGTAACACATTTATGTGTTGGATATGTCTTCTTAAGCCAAACACTATACAAATGATACATGAAGAGATTTACTTACCGCCATTTTCCTCAGTATCTATCCATTCCTCGTCTTTCCCAAGTTTATACTCCTCGGGAAGAGAGTCGTCTTCTTCTTCTGTGGGCTTCTTAAAGATGATGGCTACCAGCATGGCAATGGCGACAATCTAAGAAAGGAAGAGCACGTAGTTTGAAAACCAACTATTGTTTTTTTTTCTTCTGCATTAGACTAAAGTTTATACTTAAGGTTTAAGATGCAAATGTTCTTCCAGACTCAGCTGTTCGTTAAAAATACCTATGGACAGAGATTGCAGTGATACAATAAGTTGTTTGTGGACAATTAATAAGACGTTCAACGGTTGTTTATTGGTTTAGATTGGATAGATTTGATTGGATTAACGAACGTCGTACCTTGATTGGTTGTACGACGAGCGTTGATTGGAATATGGACAGCATCATGCAGGACAGCCAGCCCTCGGCCTTTGCTTTGCCCCACTGTAGGCTGTACAAGATGACGAAGAACGCGGGTCCCAGGATGGAGAAGAAGGCTAACACCCAGCCGACATAGAAAATCCACCACGGTAAGGTCTGCTCCGGGCTTGGCTTGGGTGTGTTCAGTATGGTCACAACCTGTGTGAGATACAACAACATCGTTGCTACTTTTTTTATCTTCCTCTATTTATCAGCATTTAGCACATTCGTGGACGGACTGACATGAGAGGTAACTCTCTCAAGACGTTGATCCGTAGGCCGGGTTGTAAGTCGGAGAAACCTTTTACATACGTAGTAAGAACGTCTCAGGGATTTGCCATAGATGTGACATTTTGTTATATATGGTCCTTGTTCGTCCAGACAATTTTGGACGAATTGAAATTGATTTTGCTCAGTATATGTTCATATAGATACTGCCAATTGTGTGTACTTGTACTTACCTTGTCATTTAGACACATTTATCATATAACATTGAAACTTTGTACCTAACGAGAATTAGTTAAAATATAACGGTCAATTATTTCGATTATTACACAATAAAGATAAAAGCTAATATCTATACAGAGTGTTGATTTATGTACGAATCTATAATGATAACGGCATGACCTCCTCTGCTGTCGGTTCTTTTCCCTCCTCCAGCTCCTCCGCCTCCTTCAGCTTCATGGCTTCCTTCTCTTCCGGTTCTAGCTCTTTCCCGATGTCGTCAAAGTCTGAACATGTCAAAATATGTACGTTTCATGTTAGGAAATCCAATAGTCTTGAATTTTTTTATAGAAAATTAAAATATGCAGCCACTGCCTCATTACTCAAACGGCTGTCAGTCTCTAATTGGTTGAACTGCTAATTGTGATGGGCTTTCAGTCTTTCGGGTATTGTATTTTGGTAGAACGATCCGTTTTGCTGTATTCGTGTATCTAAGAATGGCATCCCATGACACAGTTTTCAACTGCATGTTGTGTCGGAAAATATATCGTCTGCCACGGGCAAACTTCTGATGCAATGTCGACCAAACATCCAACGAAAACAGTAAAAAAAATCCGGATTTCGCGCAGGTGCAGTACTAGTATTGCCTGCGCGACGAGTATGCCATACTTTCATTTGAATTTTAAAATGTCAGAACAGAAAGGTAAAACTTCATTGAGCACCAGTAATTACCGTGATGTAAAATACGTACCTTTCTCTTTCCCTTCTTCTTCCTTCTTCTTCTTTTCCTCCTCTTTCTTCTTTTCCTCCGCCTCCTTCTCAGCAGCAGTTGGTTTGTACTTGGCCTTCTTGAAGAAGGTGACGAGTGCCATGCTGGCCGGGAGGACCACTAGGGTGCTCTCTATACTGATGATGATGTTAGTGAGCGACAAGGTGATTGGACCGAGGGAAAATTCTCCTGGGTCTTCCACCTGTGAAATAGATGTGAAACGGATAAATAAAACAAAGCAAGCTGAGTGGGCTTATTGTAGAATTAAGAATCCTGCAGTTAAAATTTAGTGGTTTGACAATGGGAACCATATTTTCTAGAAGTTTATGACTAAAGCCTTGCTGTTAGTCCTTACTATTGACAGTAACTAAAGCGTGTTTGATACTAGTAAACTAGCATCAAAACGTGTTCTAGCTATAAAAACCGACAAACATTACATGGTAGAATTTCACATTGAGGTTCTCTCTTGAAAGCAAATTTGGATTGAAAAAAATGTAGTCAAAATAGACTATATACACCGTTTAGGGATCTTGAACTTAGCAAATTCTGCATCATACTGCCCTTGTGCACGTAGAACTGTGTAGTGGCTTATTGGAACTGACCTCGCTCTTCTTGTAGAACATGGCGTTTGCGATCATGGTGAGGAAGAGCAGCGCCACGCAGCAGGTGAGGCGCTGTGTGCGGGTGAAGTTACTGCGGGTCGGGCGGGACGCCACGGAGAACCACAGGTGGCCGTCAGACAGGTTCCGCTTGGAGCTGGAGAAGAACAGGTGGTTGAAGCCGATGATGTTCTCGGTGCCGGCCACCGGCAGGATGCGGTCTGTCAGGCCGTCATCTTCCTCCACGGCCAGCCAGCGGTCACACAGGAAGTAATACCTGGTGAGAGATTTAGACATAGTTAAATAGATAGACAGATAGGCAGACAGATAGATATCATATTAGATAGATAGAATCCATTATTCTAGCGTCTTTTTCGTTATTCGTGCTTGCCAAAGAGAAAAAAAAAATTATTTAGAATACCTTTGAATTTATAGCATATCTAATGTTTATTAGGCAAATGGGATAGGAAACAACTTTTTTCTATATCAATACATTCTATGCAAATTTATTAAAATGGATTTTTAATATCGATTCATGTGAACTTGAAGAAAATGGAATGCACTTACCGTTCTCCCGTCTGTATGTCCTGGATGACTACCTTGTTACAGTACCAGCTCTGGTATTTGCCCTTCCCGGAGTTGTCATGCCAGACGCGGAGGAACGTCAGATATCCCAGCGACTTGGGAACTCCTAACAACACGTGGTCGATGTTTCCACGGCGGAGCAACTGGGAGGGAAGTTATTCTCATATAGACCCATTTATAAATTATACTCTAGACGACTGTTTTTTAAGCTGTTTATTGTACTCGTGTTTTTTTCTCGTACTCGAAATAGAAAAACGGCAGTATACACAGACTTCTTCATGTGAACATATTAACATCGACCAGTTTTATAATGTTAAAAGGTTGAATTCTAAGCAATGATAATCACCAAATCTAGTCATTAACTTCAATCATTAAAACGAAGTGTGATACTGAAATTCAAGTCTTCTTCAAATAGTATATTCATAAATCCAGTTGAAAAACCTTCTTAAGGAATTAACTGCAAAGGGCGCTTCTAATGATAGATATTTTCGTACCGTTCTCTTCCCGTCGTCCACAATGCGCACGCCCGAGTCACCCTCTTCTCCCGAGAGGATGAAGTTCACGCGAGACTTGGTTCCCGCGCCAGGCCGCATGCCGGTGTAGATGTCCAGTTTGTAAAAGTAACGGTCGTTCTTAGCGTTGTCTACCAGAGGAAGTGTCCCCCACTGTAATTAGCATAAAATATGCTCTATCAGTACTTACGTTTTGATAAAGACTGTATCTATTCTATAAATTGTCGACATCAGCTAAAACAGCAACATGTAAGGAAATAATGATTTTTCACGTAACTAGATATGAAAATATTACAGAATAAAGATAATAAAAAGTTATAATTCGTCTTTATCTACTGCACATCAGTTTCTACAATCCTATTTGCATCATATATAATGGTTTTAGTTTGTAGTGACAAGTCACAATAATCAATTCTAAAAGAAGGGCATAACAAAAATTCTTTCTATACCACGGACTAAGAGTTTTAAACAAATAGTTTCAAACAAATAACATAAACCTGAGTAGTTGAGGTTTGCTTGTACGTGTAAAACTACGTAAATGTGTCGACCTCTGACCTTGATGATGTCGTTCTTGTCCGCCCGTCTGGTGTAGACGAGCAGGAGGACGTATAACAGCAGGATGGACACGACCACGGAGAACACGGCGGCGTTGTCGGACAGGTTCGCGAACTTGGCGAACACGTTGGAGAAGTCGATGGTGTTCGGGGCGACCACCATCTCCGACCCGAACGACGTCAGATGGTTGCAGTCGCAGATCGTGAATTTGGACGTGGTCATTGCTGAAACCTGTTGTTATATCAACAAACTTTAAGGCTCAAAACGATTGTCGCACGAACGCAAAATGGGAAAATTCTACATGTTATAGGTTGTAGTGATGCATATTTCCGACAACAATTCAACTGTTTTGATGAGGACAACCAACAAAACAGAACTTAAATAAAGGAGTTGCGTCTGTCACAGCCTGCTTGAAACTTCTACACCGTAAGATGGTGAAAAGAGTATTTTCATTCCGTTTGGTCTTGTTTGTACTTCCTTATAATGACGATGAAAACAGACAATTTTACAGTCTTCACTCGTACTACGCAATGGTTTTTGTCCCCTCCCGTCCTGGTCACCACATCTTTTAAGCCATGACATCCCTGGTCAAAACCCTGCCAATCAACTGAAAAACTCGCCCTGAAAGCCACTACCGAAAACAATACTTCCGTCCCACGAGAAAACCATCTGCACATACATGTATACAGTGCATCTTACCGAACAGCCTTCGTTTGACCATTTCTCCCCCTCCTCGTCCCAGTATTTACATCCGGGTGAGAAGACGATCCATTTGAACTCGATGGTGTTGTTTTTTTCTTTCCCTTTTCCACTATCGTCACTTCCTCCTCCTTTGTCACCAGACTCCGCTTCCCCCTGGTCACCCTCCACCTCCACCTCCACCTCCTCTCCAACTTCCTCGCCTAGGATTGATTATAAAGATACACATACAGAATTACAGATGATAACAACATCACACAATTTAGGAACGATTGTAGCTTAACTGGGTGAAAATTAGAAATGCACTTCTCTCCAAATAAGTTGTAACTAATTTTTCTTACACGTTTAAATAAATTAGAATTATTCTATTAACTTAAAACTGTTCACCGTGGTTACACGCCCTATTCTCAAACATATACGCCACGATATGAAGATAGGTATTTCAGAAGAGTCATTTTCAGAACTACTGGCTGCTATAATGATTTTGCACGTTGCAAGTAAAAATCAATAGAGTTCTCTTTGTACAAAGTTTGTTTACGAAAGCAGCACACTTTAGTAAATAATAGATATATTGTTTTCTACTTAACACCACAAAAAAACTATAACGATCATGAACGGTTCAACATACTTAAAGCGTCGATGGCGAAGTAGTAGAAGCCAGGTTCCGCCACGATGTAGTTTGGTACGAAGACGAGGAAGGTGTCGGGTACACCGTGTCCGCCGATATCAAACAGCTCCTCCTCCGTCAGACCCGGGACCTGCGCCACGAAGTCATAATCCTCCCGGGTCGGCGGCTTGGCGAACCGGACGTACACGTCAAAGTCCAGGTCAGGCTGATTCGGCACCAGTCTGTAAAGCAAACATTCATTTGAGAATATTGACCAGCACGTACAATGACCATGTGGGTATATTGTGAGTTCGATTCCCAGTCAAGGCGTAACTACGACATTAAAAATGGTACATGCTGATGTCTTTGCTTAGCACTCAGCATTTAGGAAAAAATACGAATATGCGGTAGTCGGTTAGTTGGACAAACATATGTACATACGACTACAGGTGATCTAACCTCCTCCTGCTCAAAGTTGTGTGGCAAAAGGAAAACTAAAACTAAAATAGGCCCCGCCCTTTTCACCATCTAGTGCGGAAAAGCACTGCTAATGGAAATTCTTTCATTATTGCAGATACAATTTTGTAGTTGATCTGGAATGCCTAGACATAGATATAATCACCATTCTTCATAACACAGTGTGTGTAAACAATTTATTCGGACTGCAGACAGGACTGCAATTTTCTGATCTGACGCATTATCCATTACTCTACTGACCCTGCTGCACTTCCCAACTCTTAAACATGAGAGAAGGCGCTTCATGGTCATGTTCTACGAGCGTTCTGAAATCTTTATATACAATTCATAAAAATGCCAAGCAATGGACATTCTGTTTACTCTCGAAATTTGTTTATTTGTTTATTAGACCGATCTCCATTAGTTTGTACAGTTGCCATACATACTATTCTTCCTGGAGTCGTTAACTACAACACTACTATCATAACAACATGGTAAGGCTTAGCTACAAACTACATAAACACACACAACATGCAAGTAGTACCTAAAGGTCATAGGTCATAAAATAAAATTTAAACAAAAATTCACATTTACATTTCTACATTTCTACTACCACCAAGCTTGTAAGGGTTTGGAGATGTCCACCACAGAAATAGCCAAAAAGATGCTAACTTATAGGCAAGCACACCTCGTTACTTTCCACTGCCAGTTCTAACCAGATGAGAAGTGACGTACCCGAAGATAAGAGCGTTCCCTTCGTTGGGGACCTTGGCCTTCATGACGTAGGTGTCGTTAGAGTTGGATTTCCACCACGTGATGTTCTTCGGTTCCCCGGATCCTCCTGACATCCGGTTCTCAATGGTGATGCTAGGATGAAAGGTTCGATACATTTTTTTTAGTTACAGAAGGTTACTTTTCTTTCGCCATAATCAAAATAGATAATGGAGTTCACAAATAAGACCACGCATATGCCCAGTGTCTAAAATGAAGGCCCCAAAAACGTTAACAAAGCACACGGTCAGGTAATTACATACATGTCCAGACGTATTTATTTACGTCTCGGAGACTTTCAACTTTGAAATATTACCAACAATGCAATGCATTTCGCATGTGTACTCTGACGAACCTCCATACTTGTCTTTCGTCTTCTTGTCTGGGAACGACAAATGATTCGTTCTTAGACGTGGCGTTTTCCACTTTTAAATTAAGTGGCAAGGATACGGTCCCAAATGTGATTAGGTTTAGACCCCCACGTCTCTATTTATGACTGGAAAGGACTTTCTGCTCCATACAGCTTACTTGATTCAGCGTTTTGCAATGTATATTTATTTTGTACATAGACATAGGTAGGATGACAAATGAGGTTGTGTACCTGATAAAACGTACGATAATTTCATAGCGCAAACGTGTTACTTGCGTTCACATGTCACTACATAATACTTCATTTTAGATACGTCCATTCAATTCCATCTCGCCATCGTACAACTATTCCGCGTAAGTCATGGCCGATTCATTTTAGATGTAGCGACTCTCCCAGAAAAGCTAACTGCTACATATATCTACTTTTTTCATTCAAAAGTAAAAATGATCGATTCCAAGATCATAAAAGTCAAAATTTACATTAAGTTCGTACATTTTTTTTCATTCAAAAGTGAAAGTGATCGATTCCAGGACCATGAAAGTGAATGCAAAATAAATAGGAAGAAAAATCTCCAAATAAATGTACCCTCTGCCTATAAATCATACGTCACTGTTCGACACCTTTGACGTCATGAACCTTTTCTAAAGGAAAAATGATCTGGCTCTAAAAAAAGGTTTAAATATGTTGTGTACAGCTAGCTTTGAAAGAGGCTCTTCTTCTTTTCACTTCTATCTGAACGTCTGGTTATATATCTCTGACAACAGAACATATTTTCTATATTGACAATAACACATTTCTACGAGTTAAAAGTAGCCGAAAGTTAGCATTGGTGCTACGCTATTTGTATACCGGGGCTCCCATGTCATCTCGCTCTTTAAGATGTATGGGACCCGCGTACATAGAAATCACTACACAAAGAATTAAATTCCCCAATGATTTAAATTGCCAGTAAAGCCGGTTTAATAAATACTGCTGTGTAGTAAATATAAAAGTCAAGTCCGATAACTCACTATAAAAATTGGTCTTAAATTAAATTAGCGGAATTGACTTTTAATTGCTACCATTAAAGTAAGCAATTATGGTAATGGAAGTAAACATTACCAGATTGTACTGGCATTTACTACCATAGGCAAATCCAACTTTTCGTGCACTGCAAATAGAATAGAAATCTGTGGTCCTTTACAGCGGTATTCAATTATATTCCGCATATTAATATGCCGCTTGATATCCCTTTGTGGACAGACTGTCCCTATAATAAGGCTTAAGCTATGAGACTGACGATGATGACCTCTGACCTGATGTTAGTTGAGATGCCCTTGACCCCCACGTTGCTGCCATTGGACGACATGAAGTTCATAGTGACGACTGGTGACGTCACTGCCTTGGCTGAGTCGTCAAACGTGAAAGGGTTGGTGGGGTTGGACATCACCTTAAGTGAAAAAGACCGACATTTATAGATTCAAAAGAGCTCCTCGCTAAAATGCCTATCCTATGCCTTGTCGATGCCCATCATTATGTTCTTTAGTGTGTCAATCGTTCAGATGCTCACTGACACATGGTGCTTTTGTCATGGTACTTTTTCCCTGCAGCTACTAGACGAAAAAGTGTAATGCGGCTTCGCTACGGCTAGCTTATTTAGGGGTGGGTAATTCGCCATGACCGCGTTACATAAATAATACAGTTTTTCAGCATTAGAGCAAAGCAATACGAAGCAAGTATTACCATTTGAATACGTGTGCTTCTTATGATTGGTCTTGGCTACACATTTGAAAGAAATATTCTGACAGTACGGAATGAGATGCCGAAGACACAATTAGAGTAGAAGATTCTGTACTTACTACTGTGTTCATACTGTCCATTTCTGTATCGTTGCCAAACATATCTGCTGCACTAGGTAGGGCGAAGCTGCCACCTCCAATATCAAGTGACTTGTTTCCGGAATCTTCAATATTATCGCTGACGACAGCTATATTAAGTTGATCTGATTCGATGACCGTCGGGGCTTCACCGATCAGTTTCTTCCCTGACACGGACTTTGCGGCTGTGCTAGCAGCGCCCATACCTGTGTTGGCAACTTTCTTGGCCTGTGGAAAGGAAAGGCGGCAATGTTTTACAAAAATAAAAGCTTTTAAAAATATTACGCAACTAGAAAGGCCAATATTTGCTTTGGAGCAAATACAGCGATGGGTTCACCACATTTTACGACATGGCAGGGAAAGAATGAGAAACACAAGGGAAAACAATGATTTACATTGATATAACTATAATATGAAGTAACATACAACTAAAACAACAGTTGGATAGCTATTCCCTACTTTATTGGTTAGGATTTTTAATTGCATAATGCAAACTGTTGATTTTCAATGCTGGAGCAGAAAAGCTTGAAATACCTACCAAAACACTTGAATAAAGACATACTGTCAGTATGGAAATGCTCTGTGCAGGTGTTAATCAAGTTAAATCCCAACAGCCAATCAGCAAGAAATGCTCTGTGCAGGTGGAAATGCTCTGTGCAGGTGTTAATCAAGTTAAATCCCAACAGCCAATCAGAAAGAAGTATAGAGGAAAGCTGCATGCCTATTGGTTGATGCCCTGCATTCCATTGTGATGACTCATGCCCAGAGTGGTAAACATGGCACACTAACACAGTAATACATTTGCTATAACACAGCCAAAAAACTCAAATAAAACCATTCTAAAAGCCTGTATCACAAAAATTAAAAAAACGCCTAGGGGTATTTGCCCACTGTACCTCCATACCAAATTTCAGGACCTTAGGCCCTAAAGTGAAGAAGCTGAATCCATTTAAAAAATGGCAGGAGAAGGAGAAGGAGAAGAAGAAACATCAGAAAAAGCAATATGGGTTCACCACCACTTCGTGGTGTGGTGAACCCATAAAAAAAGAAGCATCATTAGTATATTTTATTTTGTTGCCCCTGTTAAATAAGGAACTTCCCTGGCAGACCAGTTCTGCGGTCCTATACCATGATAAACATTTACTTTAGTCTGTCTGCCACATAAACAGATGCATTTGTAGATATCATATATGTATGATACGTGAGGAATCTTACTGATGGTCTTTCGGCCAGTTGTCTCAAATATGTCTTCCTTCTCTTCATCTCCTCGTAGAAGAGGTACTCCTCGACACTCTGGTCCGGCGGGGGCACGTCAGGCGGGGGCGGCTTGCTGAGGTTGTCAAACATCTCTTTCACGTCGGATGTCTCTGATGCCTTCATCACGCTGCCCAATGAGCCTACGAGGTCTGGATAATCAAATTAGCCAAACAGTCAATCATCCAAGCAAACTAAAAACACAGTGCATACTGTATGATACTGGGAGTTACATCATATAGTAGGTTATCACTCATATAATTGTGCGGCGTAACTTACCCCGGTATAATGTTTCATACCGTGATTACACAAAACGCATCCCTGGCGACCACATACCGTCCAAGGCATGCGGGGCCAGAACCCTGTCAATCAACTGATACCCAATCCCCTCCCGCTCACTTCCAATCATCGCTGATCAGGACAAGATAGAAACTCCTCTTAAACCTGCACCGGACAACACAATACTTCCAGGACGTAAATTCTAGAAAATGTAAGATTTCGTTGTGTGGGTAAGAAGTTTCATGATCCAAGAGGAATTTAAAGATTATGTTCAAACAAGCCTGAAAATACAGCTTTTTGAAACTTACCGCCTGCTACTTGGTTAACCATTTCTTCGTCGACCTCTTCGCCCATGCCGTCAAACTGCCCCGTCATTCCGGACAGAGAGTCTATTGATCCCTCCTATCATTAAAAGATCAACACGGTGAATTCAATATCGTACTTTCCTTTTGGCTCTTTTTTTTCTGTTGGAGGAATTTTATTGTGAATGCAAAAGTTCAATGTTTCTAGTAGACTGTTTAGTGTTGAAAAAGCTGCAGCACAGCAAAGCATAGCTGATGACATCGGTGAATACTGAATGTGTAAAAATGATATTGATGTTTTTTCCAGTTTCTGCCCGTACCTGTGTTCCACGTTCCAGTTCGTCCGGTGCTCCGGAGATGGTCCGCGTGGCGCTGGCGGCCTGGAGGATGTCCTCCGGCGCTTCTGCCACGCCTCCTATCGTACCGACGTTGGACGCCATGATCTTTCGGATCTAGGGACGCAGATAGATGGGGTATTATAGATCACGTAGGACTAAAACAAGTATCGTAACGGTTTCATTTTGTGCAATTACAACATGCAAAACGTTTCTTGAGTTATGAGAAGGGTTTAGATTTATTTTGCATACAGGCATCGTTCCATGGACTTTCAAAATGTTTGCTGTCAAAAGTCTTACCCTTTTTCTGTGTTCTTTCCTGATGTTCTCGTCTGGTGGCACCGTCGGAATGCCACACTCTGGGTCTAGTTGAGGTTCTATAGGACACTAAAACACAAGAAAATCATATAATTGCAACTCCCACCCTAAAGCATTTTTCTGCATTCTGTGTACTGCAAAATACAGCTGTCTTGTTGTGGAAATTCCTGTCATAGCTCCTTCGGCGGTTGGTTCTTAAGCATGCTTAAGAGTTCTAAGGCATCGAAATCTTACGATGGCCTACAACTCATGTAAACGCGACGTAACTACGACGTCCAAGAGAATATGACTTTTACGACACTATTGTGAGTAACGTCAAGTCCTCAAAGCGATCCGTCTGCATGTAAGATACCATCTACATGTAGTTACCTTTGAGTTCATGACAGAGGTGAGCGACTCCATGAGAGAGGCGGTCTCTTTGCTCTTGGTCTCCGCCATCATCCTCGCCAGCTCGCTGTTCGGTCCGTCCGTCACCCTGAGGAACAGCTCCTCGTAACTGTTCACTCCGCACGGCAGTTTGGGAGGTTTCACCTTCGGTAGGCAGCATTTAGTCAAATATTAGCACACCTACCTTTTATGTGTGATCATTACCCAAATGGCAGGTAAATTTTGGGATCAAAACCGTTTCAACTAGTTCTTTTGGGGTAGCGACCAGCGACAGGCTCTACTAAGAAAAAGTTTGCAACGAAAGTTTGCCACTCCTGAATTAGCGCGGACCGACTTCCCTACCATATCATCTGTCTATTTCTACTCTTTTCAGTCGCTTCCCGAAGCTTGATAGAGGCTAGTTTTTCTGTAGCCTAAGAAGCTGTAAAACACACGTACCTTTACAGTCAGTCTGTAGTCAGCGTACGCCTCGTAAGGGTCGAAGACTTGGACCAGGATGTCGGCGGCGAAGTCCCGCTCGCAGTCCCCCATGGCGATCTGTACCGGCATGGTGAACGGGATGTTCCCGAAGTAGATCAGGTTCGTGTCGCCCATGATGATGGAGTTGAACTTGTACTTGAGAGTGACCTGTGGTCGAAAAGTGTTTTTATTTCTTTAGTTAACATTACCGTAACATTTATAACATTTCTTTAAGGACTAAAACTAATAAAATGGTATAGTGTGCATCTTTTGGATTAACCCAAAACTCAATAAATGACATGGAAATTGAATAGAATGTTTCTACAAAAAGAAAAAAAAAAGAAAAGAAAATAGGAAAAACGAAGTAAAGAAAGAAGACAAGTTGTTTAGTTTTAGTGTATAATGTTGATTAAGTGGTAGCTTCGAGCAGAATCTTGTATGCTGACCTTCGGTGGTTCGGCGCCAGGTGGCACTCTTTGTGGTAAGTCCCCCTCATCCTTCCAACCAGTGCACTCCACGATAAACATGGTATCGTACGCATGGCCTGCAGGGGAAAGATATAACACGTTTTAACGTGTTTTGTGCAACAAAGGCATTTGTGAACAGGCCTGATTTTGCCTTAAACACACACACACTTAGCTATGACTAAAATGACCTTATGATAAGAATCTAGTTAAGACAACCTTTTCCATCAAAAGAAAGCCGACCCTTATACGACGCAACCACGACTGCCTCAAGAATCTCCTCAATTTGCTGGCGACTACTGCTAGACTGACAAAGGAGCGGAAAGTAATCTCGATTCAGTTTTAGCTCACAGAAGAGCTAATCTTCCACTGGTCATGACAGGGAAAATAGGCGTTATATTTTCAGGTTCACTGTACCAGCGAAACGCCCATCTCTTTTCAACAAGCACAAAGAACAGTGGACCACAATTTAACGTCCCTTCCATATAGGGCTGCGACTCTTTGCAGTAGCGTGCACGTTGGGAGAGCGCCATTCGAACCCCCAACCTCTTAGTCCAGAGGTAGGGTCGCTAACCACTGGACTACGCACATTGGACTTACGCCTCCTTTTATTTATTGGAAACAGACTTACCTACTTTTGGACTGATGTGACATCTCCCGCCATACGGGATATAATTGACGACGTATTCACCCTCCGAGAACCCGGGCGTTTCCGGGTTGTTGGCGTACGCTTTGACTCTCACTCGGTAGGTGGCGCCCTGTTCTAGGGTGTCTGGTCGGATGGCCAGCGACGACGTACTAGCACCTAGACGTTTGAGATGCATGAAAATAAATCATTCAGTGACAGAAAATGCAGATACACTGACTGAAGGATACAAACCTTAACACTCTTAGATACAAACCTAAGTACTCTTAGAAAGCTCTGAACCTATCTAGAACGAAATATGCTATGATGGTGTTTGGGCACTAACAGTTGTAATGCTGCTTAGCTGGATCTGAAAGAGGTATACCTTGCATCAATATCATATCTACGCAACTGTAACAACATAAATGAATCCAATGTGGAAGACTTAAGGTTTAATCATCCAATATGGCGGACAACAACTACGTCATACATGTATATGAGTTTAAACACTCCTTTAGTAATATCTGTTTGAGACAGGTTGTAATAAATGATGTGTTTAACTGGCACCCTCCCCCCCTCCAGGCTTAGCCATATAACATGGCTGAAAACGTTACGTCATAGTCACGTGAGTGCAAACACCCTATTAGCAATACCTGTTTGGGACAGGTTGCCTAAGTTGGGGACTTCCTCTAATAGCGGTGCCTTCTCCGGAATGGTGTGGTTGACTCTGAAGAGTTTCCAGGTGTAGGTGAGCCGGTTCCCGCGGCGGCAGCTGGTGCACACCGCCTGCAGCTTCAGGACTCCTCTGGGGTTCACCTTCTTCCAGCAGTTGCTCACACACCTTAGCACGAAAACATTGGAGGTATAGGTATGAGAAATCGTTCTCCAACTACAAAATTGACTCACTGGAACTTTTTGATAAAATCTCTTGGTCTACATCGGCCGTCTATCCCATGTGCGGTAGACATGTGACTTTTCCGCTCATGTTTCGTCAGCGCTGGGTCAAACTTCGTCGGCAGTCGGTAACGCCCCCCGTCGCGGTTGAAAGAAGGTTGGTGTTCCCTGGTGTAAAAGCTGCCACCGCCCGCCCTAAATTACGCCAAGTGACCGCCAATACCGTATATACTTCAAATGCATCGTTTGGTTTTCAAAGGGCAGTGATAAGTTATTTGAATTTTATTAGTAATCAACTGTTAGCTACTCATAAGTGAACATGCAGGGAACATGATGATCACGATGATAATGTAAGTGAGGGTGAAGTTTGATCTCACCTGACTTCCATTTGTGGAACGACAGGTGGCAGGACTTCTAACGTCTGCTCAAACATCGCCGTCCGGTTGCCTTTCTTGGCGACTATCCTGGTCACGTATGTTTCCCCCGGGGAAAAGTCGGACGTGTTTAGTTTGTAGTAGTCCTCGCTGCAGTTGAACGGAGCGTAGCCGGTGTTGTAGCAGCCCCCTTCGGTGTAGCTGTCTGGGTCCTCCGGCAAGATCTCAAATGGCAGACGGCAATACCTAAGTTGAACGAAACACATCAAACGTTATGGACGGAATGGTCACCGCTTCATAAGCTACTACACACACACACGCGCACACACACACACACACACACACACACACACGCACGCACGCGCGCACGCACGCACGCACACACACACACACACGCACGTACGCACGCACGCACACACACACACACACAACACAACCACCCCCCCCCCCACCAAACACACACACACAAGCAATACATAGTTTGGAACATTTCACATATACAGTACAAAATGGTAATATACGGTTCGGAATAAAGTGCTGAAATTCCTTATCTGGAATTTTATGAGCCAAATTCATAAATAGGTTACTGCAAATCAAGACTATTGTAGAGCTGTAATTTTCTTTAGAGGTAACACAAACCAATAGTATTCCATGCCTTCCTTGTCCCATTTCTCTACGTCAGGGTCATAGGTCAGCGTGCTTGCGTCAAGGTGTAGTAGGGTGTCGTTGTCCACGGCTTTGCTGATGCCTCCTTTGATGCCTGCCTTCAGGTCAGATTGTATAATCTCGAAGTAACGGAAATCCTCATTGGCTATTCCTTCTGTCCCCACCACCTCTGGATCAATCTCCACCTCCAGCGTAAGTTTGTAAAATCCGTACTCGAATGTACGTGCTTTGAATAAGACGTCAGCTTTCCTCTTAAACTTCATGTTGTAGACCTCCCACTGTCCATTATCTTCGTTTAGTTTCAGAGCTTGCCAGTTGAACTGGGCAGCATTTCCTGCATCGCAGTTCAGACTGACGATCGCCATGAGGGGTACCTTTGAGGACCGTGTGTGGACTCTCCTTGTTTCGAATGTTTTTCCCTCTCCTTGCATTTCTACAATAGGGTAGTCACACTCAACGTTGAGTATGTGGATGCGGTCTTCCAAAACGATTGACGACACCGCGTTCGAACCGTTGATTTTAATTTTGAAGAGTCCGAGCTCCAGGTAGGTGTGTGTGTGGTTGATGAACTTGTCCTTTGAAGGGTTGATCTCGTGGAAGGGGTAGCCGCGGTACGCTGGGATATCGGCGCATCCCGCTTGGGGGTCTCCGTACACGTCTACTGTTCCATCGCCGTTGTCCCAGACGTAACACGCATGCGTCCCGAGATGCTCAGTCCTCAGCATGAACGTGATGGTGTCGTTGAGCTTCCCGGGACGGACCCGCGATCCCAGAGTTCCAAGCGAGGTGAACCTCATCGGCTCCTGCACGATGATCGCCTTATTTAGAAACTCCGTCACGTTTTCATTCGGGTTCTTCGCCCGAACTGTGACGTAATACACTCCGTCGGAAGCGTAACTGTGTTCCACCACTGGGCCGAAGGTCTCTACAGTCTCCGAACGGTCTCCGAAATTCCAAAGATACGAGACCACCTTCCCTGTTTCGACCGACGCCGTGAAGCGTATGGGATACTGGATCGGGAAGTAGTCCTGGTTCGGCCCGAAGCCTTCTTGAGTCTTTCTGCCACCGACCACGGAGACCAACGAGATAGCCAGACCTGATATAGCTTCCGACATCCAGGACACAACTGTGAAGTTTTGCGCGCTGATGAAATTTCGTACCTGAGCGTGGGTGACGATTTCGCCAAAGTTGCTCGGACCGTACTGGTATATTTCGTCGTACCGAAACGTGTAATCGATGGATACCGGGCCCGAAGTCTTGGTAGTACCGTCACCCCAGGTCCAGTCCACGAGAATATCAGTCGGCGGAAAGCTATCTCCTTCGTACATGACGGTGAAGGTAACGTTACCGGGTGGATAGTACACCGGTGCGTTACTGAAGACCCGTACGTCCCGTACAGGATGCTGAACTACTATTGGTTCTTCGTACATGAACTGCCGCCAGGAAATCAGATTGTACACTGTTACCGTAACGTTGAAAAGCCCCTTACGGGGGTATGTGTATGTGAATGCCGTCGTAGGGATTTTTGCCGCCGGTCCTTCTATGTAGAATGTTTCGACATGGCCGTCGCCCATGTCAAGCTCCATGGTGACTTCGGTGCCAGTGGAGAGATCAACCTCAACGTCCGATTCTTCCCCGAACTCTTGCTGAATGGGGGTGAGTATAGTAATGCCGATGTCCCCAACTGGCTCTTGCATGTGGACGCCCGCAGTGATGAGTTGGTCGCTTACGTCGTTCCAACACAATGCCGAAGCGTCGGTCTTCCCCAGGCCCTTGTAGATGTGCTGTATAGTCAGGTTACGTTTAGAGGTGACCACCGCTGGATACACGGTTTCGGCTTCCCCATCTCCGAAGTCGAAGTCACATGTCATGTTACTCGGGGAACCTATCCCTTCTGGTAAGGAAATAGCGAAGGTCACGGTTCCTGGGGGAAGAGGGTCCGGTTTTGAACTTGTGAGTGTCATCTCTCTGGCAGCGTTCATTACGTGGACTTTTTGGTCAAGTTCAGCTTCTAGTGAGTTTAGATGGTTTTGAGCGGTGACTTTGACCTTGTATTTTCCCTCATGTTGATAGACGTGGTAGAATTGGTAGATGTCGCCACCGCTTACCGGATCGTAGCTGTTGTCGTCTGTTGTACCGTCACCGTAGTCTACTAAGAACACTACCCCCGCTCCGTAACGCACTGTAGCCTCTAGTGTGAAGTTCTCACTAACACTGGTGTAGAGGTACTTCGGCGTCAGGATCTCCAGGTCAAAGAGGTAGTCGCCGATCATGATGATGGTTGTCATCTCCGTCTCACTCACGTGATTCTTGACCCTAACGGTGACGTCGTAGAAACCGTAGACGCCGAAGACGTAGTCTTTACGGTAAGGATCGTCGACGGACAGCTCGAAGGATTCTTCGGAGCTGTCTTGGTTGTCGAAGTCGAAGATGAAGACGGGGTCGGTAGGTTTGGTGAAGCCTGGTTCTTGAGAAACGATGAACGAAACTGTATCGTTCGGATTTGAAACGTTGTTAGCTACCAGAAACAATCCTTCTACGATATCTTCGATCTTGATGGTCAAGGTATCTTTCTCCGAGCTCACGAAGTTGGCCACCTCGACTTTTACGTCGTACACAACTGGTGAGGAAAAGTTGAAGGTCATCACTTCCGCGTGACCTCCGCTAGGGGTCGGACCACGAACTTTTCTTGCAAACGTTTTTGTATCGTAGAAATCCCAAAGGTAGAACAGATTAGAGCCTGTAGCTACAGCAGTGGTGAACGTCACGGTTTCTAAGGGCGTGGCGTAGTACTTGTCGGCGGTGGCTTGGAAACCTGTGATCCTGTCTTCAACGTTGATGAAGACTACGTGAACAAGGCTGCTTACGGGATTGGTCACTTCAAGAACCGCCACGTGAGTACCGGGACAGGTGTAGTCTGACTGGGTTATCTCTGCGGAAGCTGATTGGCCACCTTCGTCAACTGTTATAGCCGTTATGCTGACGTTATCCAGTCTAACTGTGTTGACGCTCCTCCATTCTCCTTGCACTATACGCCACGTCAGACTCACAGTGTCTCCATACGGGACGACTAGGTTGTTCACGGCTTCTATTTGAAGAGACTGACCAACTAAAGCCGTAGTGTCCGCCACCATGGTGTTTCTCTTGGAACTACAGGTCAGCGTGACGGCATAAACACCGACTTGAGAGTACGTGTGCGTGAACTCTGTCTGGTAGTCGCTATCTTCTGAGATTTCTTCTGACGTTTGGTCGCCAAAGTCCCAAACGCAGCGCACGGAAGCGTCCGTGGCCATGTCTCGTTCAAAAGTGGTGGGGTTCCCAAGTTCGGTAAACTTTCCTTGAGTGTAGACGTCCAAGGAACGAATGGGGAGGACGAAATCTTCTACTTCTGTCGGCAAGAAGTGGTAGACATTCGGGTACGTTATATCGTTCCAAGCCATGATGGACACATTGTACGTCCCTGCTGTGGAGAAACTATGATAGACATGAGGCGATGTCGTTAGCTTGGGCTCGGTCCCGTCTCGGAAGTCTACATAGTAAGTGAGATCGGCCCCGGCTGCGTTAGAGATATTCAGCATGATCGTCTCGTCTGTTTCTATCTCGGTGGAGGAGAATTTGACTTCTCCGGACAGTCCGGACAGTTCCTCGGGGAGATCGTGAACTTTCAGTAGCGCCGTGGTGTAGAACAAGGCGGCGGCGGTCTGCGTTCCGCAAGCGCCATCTTCCGGTTTATCATCGCCAATGCAAGCGGTACCGCACGTGTTGACGTCGTAGGATGTGGTCTCGCCCTCCTGGTACATGTCGGAGGAACAGAAGCAAGCGTCCTTGAGGACGGCGAGGGGGTAGGAGTCGGCGGCACAGGCCTCACGGCAGCTGGCCGGGGACAGTTCGGCAGGAGGAACGGACGGAGAAACGGTGTAGACTGGGATCTGGGGATCTTCCTCAACACAGTCGATGTAGTACAGATCTGGGGTTTAAAGAATAACATATGATAAACGTTTATTGTGAGACAAATTTATCTTCGCAACATTGATAAAGCACTACAGATAATGTCTACTTCTGCAACGTAGTTGCATTGATGCCCAGTATCGCAAGATGGCACTGTGTGCCTAAAGTATGCATTTTGTAAATCTTACATATGACACTTCCCGTGACTCAAAATGGATTGTTTTTGGAGACGCCTTGGGACAAATCAAATTACATTTTTCACCATTCTACATACGTTCATTGATAAGCCCATTGAAGTCATAAATAGCAATGGCTTAGGGCTTTCTCCACAGACTAGTGTTGACAAAACAAATTCTTTTTGGTGACGCCTCAAGGGCGATCGCATTTTCGTCACTATTCTACGTACCTCCATTAATGAACTTCTTGACGTCATCAATGGTGAGTGCCTCCTCCACGAAGACGAGTGTTGACAGGTACCCCTGTCCGTAGTAGTCGTCCAGGTGGTTCGCCCTGCCCAGGAACAGGTTCGGGGCGGGGTCAAAGTCAGGGTCGGCGTCGTGCAGGGTGTCGGGGATGATGGGGAGGGACAGGTCGGCATGAGCAGCCAGCTCACCGTCCACATACAGTGCCACTCCTGTAATAGTGTGGAGTAAACACGTTCTTGATAAAATAGAAAATTAAAATTTAGACTTACAGCAAGCAAGTATTAGAGGGTCCCTCATGCAACAACCATACCCTTTTCCAACCTTCTGTATACCTCCATTGCCTATTTCTGACCTTTTAACCTCCTGCAATTCTGCCTGGCCTGTAAAGGTGCAAGGTAAAATTCTGCCTGTAAATCTTTCAGCACCTACGTGTAATCAACCTACTCTTAAGACGCAGACACGCAAACCCCCAGCTCAGCTTTATGACATTTATTGTTATTTCCTTACGTATATTTGACAGATGTAACCCCAAAAATATTTATTTTTAATAATTATCAGTAGGCTTAAAGAAGATTTTCTGTAGAAATTCTGGCTAATAAGGAAATAAACGATCTTTTTATATTTTGCTTACCTGTGCTGTTGCTCCAAGAAAAGAGTATGTTTGTCCACTGCATGGTCTGTAACTCGAAGTTGACATACCACCTCTGCTCCTTACTGATCACGCCCACCTCGTAGGCATCCCTGTCACCGATGTACCCGAAGTAGAATCCTCGGGAAGAGGGCGACTGTCCTCCCGAAGAGACCAGGTAGCCCGTCTCGGTGGGGTGGTTCTCGGCGAAGTACAGGACGGAGAGGGTGAAGCCCTTGCCACAGAGGCCGATGTCGCTGATACAGGATTTGGAGAAGTAACCGAGGTTTGCCCAGGTCGACTCACCATCAAATGACATCGCCTTCGGGAAGACAGAAAAGACGCAAAATCAATATGCCGCGTCATTTTGTCAAATATATTGCCTGCTACTGCGGATCTGACATATCCTACTTGCTTATTACGTTGTTTGAAGGAAAACTACTTAAGCCTAAACTACTAAAGCCTAAACTTCTTTTTTTTATCGACGGCTAACGCCAAATCGTTCTCGTATCAAAACGTTCTAGCATTAAATCAGTTCTTTCTGAAAATTCTGCATTTTCGGAGAAGTCAAACAAAAGTACGTATTTTGTTTGACAACAGAAAGAGAAAAACGATTCAATAGACCATATAAAAATATCAAAGTTTTCTTCATACTTTAAAGAACCTGGCCTTTTCACCAAGGTATTTTTTTCTGGAACCGTTGCCCTTAATTATTAAAATCTCTCCGGTGTTCTTACTTACCTTGATGCCGCCTATCTCCTCCTGTGCGGGTACGTTATAAGCCAGCGCGGCCACGGGCTCCGGCTCCAGCCCGAGCTGGGCCTTTTCCCCGCTGAACCCCGTCCCGTTACCGTCCAGCTCGTCCAGGGGCCAGCTGAAGAACGCTACTTCCAGCTCATCTAAGTTTGTGATTAAAAAATCATGGAATAAATTAATCGTTTACATTCGTTGCCTCCAAATATTTGATATGAAGGGGCATTATCATTAGGAGAGACATAATGTTTGTTGGGAATTGGCCAAATTTATTTTAAAAAAACTCGGTATAAATCGTTGAAATCGTTCCTAGAGTAACCTGTTTTCATTTTTTTTTTACTTTTAATTAGTTTTGTATGAAATTAAATTGGGATAGTTGATGATTCCCAATGCTGGGACATTTACATGTATGCCCCATTGACTAAAACCACAATGTACACGCATTTACGTAATGTAAGAGGTAAAAAATCCGCAAACAAGTTATCACATATATAGGCATGAGTATGAGAAAACGTTATTCGAAAGTAAGATATTTACTTGCTCATGTTCAATAAGAGAGTAAAAAATATAATTTCTTCAGGATATTATGCATGCATACATTTTGTATATGATAAGGACATACGAATGTTTAATGTTTGTTGGTAATGATAACATTTGGAGGTAAGCTGTCGATAGCATTCAAAGCCTTAAGGGATAAAATAGTATTAGTACAAAAATGTAGCTTAACACTTGTCTTATTGTTTAGCTAGTTGTTTCAGGAAGTTTTGAATCGTAATCATAGTAAACACTTATTGCGTAAAACAAACTTTTGAAGATAACTTTAACTGACATTGTCTGCACAGACAACCACAGCATCCTTTTAATCATGTGAATAAAAAACAAAACAAAATCAATATGTGGGCTTCTCAATGACGTCATCGACACGTTGTTACGCACGTTCTCGCGTGAGAACGAGACCTGGGGAAGTCTCGCGGGACTAGCCACCTGTCAACGAGATTACATCCGTCCATGCATTCTCGCACGACAATACGTGTATGACTGATTGTTTGCTAAAACGATATGTATGTGATGTATTGTACGACCATGTCCAACACGATCCCTCTAGAGATATTTGCTCACTTTGTTGTTGCGTGGAAATTTAGGAGAGTATTGTGGTTTTTAGACGTTCTATTGACTTATTAAAGAGCGAATAAGGCTGCACGAATTTTTGTATGCTGCTGAATTGACATTTACTACAGACATAGAACACAATACACCATGCAATGCCTTAATATCCTGCATCTTTTAATACATTTGTTTATTTAATTACTGTTACAAAGTCCAAAAACAGAAACTCATCGCAAATCATACCCAGAGTCAATGGCATAAGTACATGCAATAGGAAAAATTGACTTTTCACAAGAGACTATAGAAAATTTTTTGTTATTTTTATGATAGCTGTCCTTGTTGTTTCTCGCTTTGTGGATACATTGCATTTCTCAAAAAGTTAATATGATGTTATGTTTAGATCTTTAAAGGTTGCTCGCCCTACCATATTTTGATAGTAGGGCCATAGCCATAGTCATCGTTCAGTGTTGTAATCTGTATGTATTTGTTTAACATGATGACATTTAAATTGCTTTAGGTTTGGACACAAGAAAAACTAAAGAACACACATTTCGAAAGATGACACTTGACTATCCACTTGAGACGAATCAGAATCGTAGATGTTAGTCTTTTAAAATGCCTTTTAATGAGGTTGTAGCTTATAAAGATAATGATTTATGAAGATAAAATCAAAGTATCCTGTCACTTTCGTCGTACGATCGCAAAGGGAAGGCATTCTACGACAGTCGTGGCTGTGTTGTACAAAATCCTGCTGTCTTGTAACGGAAAGGGCCGATTAGACCCTTGCCGGTGGTTGGTTCTGTCGCAGCCTGCTTAAATATTCTGTGGAATCAAAATCTTACGGCAATCTTCGACGAATGTGACATCACTGTCAGACATGTTGAAGTCCATTTTTTCTAATTATTTGATCACAATACCCTAAGCTTATCTTATAAGATTGGGGGAGAGTGAAGAGTTGAGGTCGGGTAAGAATGGGGGAGGGGGAAAAGTTAAGGGGGAACTGTTGGATATGAAGAGTGAGAGAGGGGGGAGTTAAGGGAGGGGAAGAGTGAGGGAGGGGAAGAATGTGGAAGGGGAAGAGTTAAGGAAGGGGAATAAGGAATGGGAAGATTGAGGGAGGGTAAAATTGAGGGAGGGGAAGAATTGAGGTAGGATAAGAGTGGGGGAGAGGGTAGGATTGGGGGAGGGGAAGAGTCGAGGTACTAGTAGTGCAATTGAACGGGTGCAACAGAAACCAGCTGGAAGACTGACAACCGTTTATATCCTGGACGTTCTATTTTAAACGTGTTACATTCGGCACGCCTTTGAGCTGAGAGATGAAAGCCCCGCCGCAAACTACGATCAAATAGTGACGAGTACATGCTGATCGGATGCGTGTTTGAGGTGCAAAGATTATGTACATTACGGTAACAGCGGTTGGCACGGTAATATAAACATACGGTATAAGCTTTGAACATCGCCTATTTCTTTAGATATTTTTTCTGTGATTCCTTTAAAATTGTTAACGTTAGCAAATATAATACTGGCTTGATATATGCCAAAGCTTACCATTTAGACGCCCATATAATGGTATCACAGGAGCGTATATGGCTATCGGTATGGTAAAACATTCCTATAGATACGCGTTGAGACTTGTAGGAGGACAACATTGCGCCACATGAAGACATTGGCTGTCATTGAGTTTGAGGCTTAAGTTGTCACCGAGTTTGCCAAGGTACGAACAAACAAACATTATGTGGTTTAAAATGATGCATTTCTATGAGACGGTTTGATGATAGTGTTGTCAATTTTGTTGCCTTTTATTCTCTATAATGTAATTTTTTTCGTAATAAAACTTATATGAAATATGAACATATTTATGGTTTATCTGTGTGAAATCGGCATTTATTTTATTATCATAGTTTATATAATTGTGCTATATTGTGAATACGTATGGCAATATCTAAAGTAGAGTCGAGGAAATTGGAATAATTTGGTTTGCATTTATCGAAAGATCCATTATGAAATCTGATGGTTGTTAAGTCAGCGTTGCATCAGAATCACATATGCATTGTATGTGATTTCTTTTCCGAAACACAACTACATGTATCATCTTAAAATTGATTTACATATTAGTAACACGAGTCAGACTGACTTTGCCATGTTCAACTGTTTTCCAGTTCTTCATACATAAATGTTAACTTGTTCTGCCAGTTTATTATAGGAACGCTAACAAAGAGTGATAGATGTCAAAACACCCGAAGTAATCTGAGTATCTATGCAGTAGTAGAGTTTCAATTGCCTGATAAAAGTATAGTGAAGAAGGCTTAAATTTAAAACCTCCATCAACGAATTCGAAGCTGCATATATAGGTTTCGTCTTGGTACTGTATGTAGTAAAAAACATATAAGTTGCATGCAATTGCTACAGGCAAGCTCCTTACGTTTTGTGTTTCTTAGTTCTGTGGTTAGAAGCCTGGTTAGTTCCTGTTTGTCTATTTACGTCTTCTCTTTGAAGGTTTGTTAGGTACGAATTTAGCACAATGTATCCGGGAGAAACTGTGAAACAAACATTCTACCAAACAAGCGAACCGGTGGGACACGAACTGTTTTCTCCACGGTAGCTTCGCCCTGTTCACGATATTCACACCACCAGTGGTGTAGAAATGTCCCCATTAGCACGTTAACGTGATAAACACAGTACTCCGGTCTGATGTTACTCTGGTGTAGAACGTGCATTTTCATGTCTGAAGTTTTCGCACAATAAAGTCATGAATTTTGTTTGTTTGGCGTGACCAGTAATCCGGCTTTAGAGGCATCCAAAGCGATTTTCAGTTCAGTAAAACTTGATCTTTTAAGTCCATTTTCTGCTTATTTTCTTTTGTAGTGAGTTAAATCAACCCTAATTTCTATACAATACTGATATCTGTAAGACAAAATTTTGATGTCCCTGACGGCAAACAGTTGCTTGTTTCGTATCATAGGCTGGTTCTAGCTATTTATATAGGTGATATCATAAAGGGACTCCTTACGTAGTTTGGTTTTGGGACATTTCAAGCGCTTTGCATATGAATTGAAATTATGATGACGATACACTGAGAAATGGCTGTCAATGTCAATATCAAATATCCTCATCCAGAAAATTTTTGTTTTGTTTTGTTATGCCAACCTGATCGATGGCATTACATTGGATGTTTTTAATCATGACTAACCGGTTTTTGACAGTAACTTCAAGCTGTGTGATACCAGGCTATACCTAATGTTTTATAGTATTGTACTGTCGTACTTCTGGTTTTGTCATAAGTTTACATCCAGATGAACACCTGCAAGAGCGATGGGCTTTTTAATGTGGCCAAATTTTTAAATTGTGGCTCAACTCAAACGATTTCCTTCCAATTTTAGTGTCCTGTCCGGGAGGACATCTCTAACCGAATCTACTAGTTGGTACTAGTACTCATTTTCACCTGAGTGAAGTGAGGAA